GCGATGATAACGACAGTGGGTTGACGATAACGATAGTGGCGATGATAACGACAGTGGGTTGACGATAACGATAGTGGCGATGATAACGACAGTGTGTTGACGATAACGATAGTGGCGATGATAACGACAGTGTGTTGACGATAACGATAGTGGCGATGATAACGACAGTGTGTTGACGATAACGACAGTGTGTCTACGATACCGATGACTGAAACAACACAACAAAAAATGACTTTACTAAATTACGTTAATTTCTAGAAACCTTCAGCATTACATGAATATTTATAAACAATCACTCAGCTATGAGTTAACATCATTCTTTACGTGTAGGCAATTAACACCTAAGATACACCTAATACAGTTCTATCTCAGCAATTATCATGAACGAAGTTCTAAACTGCAGAAACGAGTACACTACTGTATTAACTGAACTGTACCTCAAACTCTCAAATACGTATAACCTAAACCGCACCTGCAACCGAAATCAAGGACGGCTATACCCACATATGTGGTGTATGACTCCCACTGAACTAAATCAAGCAATCATAAGATTTTCAGTGTCTTTAAAATTAAGGTACAAAACAAGTAACTCACCGAATATTTGTGACACCTTTACATCCTTTTACATCACTACATAATCGACATATATATATATAGAAAAGGCTAAGTATCAATGTGGTTTAATCCGGTAGTAAAGTCTAAAGACGCGTATAGGCTTAACTTGCCGCGCCCGCCATCATTTCTCAACTAAACCAAACTCGGGCAGCTAGGTGGTCATATGTTTCCATGAACCAAAGTATGGTCGTGACATCAGTCTACGTCAGTGTGACGTCAGTGGCTATCTACCACCATAGACCAATCACGCACGCACATCCATAATATATTCCAATTACGCTGAATAGCCGAGCTCGTACGCCGGCGGTCGTTACGTCTGAAGGTCGTTGGTTTGAATCCCATCTGTTTATTTTTTTTATTTTTTTATTTTTCTTTCTTTATCCATTTAACTATTTTTCCCCAATTAATGCAAATATTGACATGATTTATTTACAATTTTTTATTACATTATTTTTTTTTTAATTAAATTAAATATATTAGTGTTGATTAAATTTAATTAAGGTTAGGGTTAGGGAGTAGGGCGTAGCACGCAACGCTATGTATGCGTTTGTCTTTGTTTCCTTGTTTGCTGTTCTACGGTTTCTCTTGAGGAATCCCAACATACTGTTGGCCTTTTTAGTGATTCTGTTGACGAGGTGTTTCCATGACAGGCTGGATTCAATATCTACCCCTAGTGGTATTTTGTACTCCTAGATATTTCAAGCACTTGTCCTTTTAGTGTGTACTGGTATATGATGGGCGAACGTTGGCGAGTCACCGATAATACGCGGCACTTTTGTGGTTGGAAGTCCATACCCCACGGTTTCTCCCATTCTGCAAGCTTGTACAGGTCCTGTTGTAGTATATCGCTATCTGATGTTGTCTTGATTTTTCTATATACTATACAATCATCAGCAAATACTCGTACCTGTGATGTTAGGTTGTCAGGCAATTCATTGATGAACAAGAGGAATAGTAACGGAGCAAGTACTGTTCTTTGTGGGACTCCACTGACAACTGGGACTTTCTCTGATGATTCAGTCTCAACGGTGACCTGAGTGCGATTGGATAGGAATGACTGGATCCATTTGTGAGTTTGTCCTGTTATTCCATAGTGTGCGATTTTGCTGAAAAGTCGTTGGTGAGGAACGTGGTCAAATGTTTTTGAGAAATCTAGGATGGTTAAATCGATTTGTTTTCCTTTGTCAAGGGCAGAAGTGAGTTCATGACACATGGTGATGAGCTGTGTTTCGCAACTTCTTCTTGCTCTGAAGAAGTTGCTGGCAGTCGGTCAGTATACTGTGTTTGTCAAGGTGCTTCATGGTGTTACTTACAATGATGTGTTCCAAGAGTTTACAGCATAGACATGTGAGTGACACCGGTCTGTAGTTAATTGCATCGTATCGGTTTCTCTTTTTAAATACCGCAGTGATGTTGGCATGCTTTCAGTCATTTGGTACAGTTCCGCATCTGAGGCTGGCATTGTAAACAACGCATAGCAAAGGTGCTAGCTCTACTGCACATTTTCTCAGGATCCTAGTAGGACTAGGAATCTTATCTGGACCAGAAGCTTTGTTTGGGTTGCATTTTAGGAGGAGATTTGATACCCTTTCTGTCGTCACCGATATGTTAGGCATGGATGGATATTCTTTTCCAGTTTGCTTTGGTATATTACAAGCATCCTCTTTGGTGAATACGGATTGGTATTGTCTGTTCAAAATGTTTGCTTTATCTTTGGCTTTGTTAAATAATCTGCCATTATCCTTAAGTGGTGTAACACCTGTACTGTCTTTCCTCAATGACTTAATATAGTCCCAGAAGCATTTCTGTTTGGTATGTGGATCATGCTGTGGGTCTCCCACCTCAATAATATTATTGATATACTTCCAGTAGGAGTTTCTTTCTGCTTTTTGTATCATTTTTTTACTTTCTTTGTACTTTTGGATATCTGATGCTTTCTTGGACTTTTTCATTCTGTTATAGAGTTTATTTCTTCTTGTTATGCGGGATTTGATTTTGAGATTGATCCATTGTTTCTTGTTTTTGTTTTCTCTTATTGTTTTGGTTGGTATATATGCTTTTCCATAAGTCCTATCAGGTTTGATTTAAATACTCCCCAGATATTCTCAATATGGTCATTAGCTGTCTCCATATCAATAAATTCTTCTTGCATGTTCTTCAACTCAAGTTTCAGAGTGTCATAGTCGTTTTTTTTTTTTATATAAGTAGACATCTCTTGGTGGTGTTTTGGTTTTTATAGGTGTGAGGCTAGATTCTATGTGCACAGTTTCATGGTCTGAGATTCCTGGTATCACTTGACATTTGTTCAATAGGGACCTATTGTTGGTGAAGAATAAGTCCAGTATTTTTTCGGTTGTTTCTGTGATTCTAGTAGGTTTGGTAACAACTTGTTCTAAGAAGAAATCATTGGCGATATTAAGTAGCTGATGTGATGAGCCTAATTTAGTTGCATATGGTTTTACACTACGATCATCCCAATTAATGTCTCCCAGATTAAAGTCCCCTCCTAACCAAATATGTGCCGCTTGGGGTATCCGTGCAGACTAGTCTGAAGAGTAGTGAAATATTCAGTATCATCTGCATCTGGTGGTCGGTAGAAGCATCCTACATACAGGTATTTAGATTAAATTTATATGTGGTTACCCATCATAATATGCATAAATTACTGTGATGTACAATCAATGTGTATGAATTTGAATTTTGTGATCGATTCTCATCCAATCAGCAGCCTTGTGATATCAAATTATGAAGTTCCTGTTATCGTAAGTTTTCTAATAGCTGCGATGTGTTTCTGTCAACTCTATTCTCGTAACATTAACATTAGTCGTAAGTGCTATCTTGGCATTAACATTAGCATTAATTAACTTTACGAAGTTTCTGACAACGGGCCCCTGGCTTGAGAATTTCCCGTAGATTCGCGGATTTCCGGGTTTTGGTTTTCATTTTGGTCATTCTTGAGATCGATGCAAAAAAAACTAATAAAAATTTGAGGGGGGTGCAGGTAAGGTGTACTTTTCTTGTCAAAATGGAAAAGGACAGGAACTAGCTATGGGTAGAAAGAAACAGCAGGAAACTCAAAAAAGGGCAGCAATGAAAAGAAAACTTGAGACACTTGTTCCTAGTAGATGGCCGGCCGGCCGTATTGACTGGCTAGTTGTTTTGATTAATATGAGGAACACTGAACATAAATGGGATGTAGATAATGTGAACTTCATCCACTATGGAAAGAAAAATTTTAATAGCTGTAATATTATGAATGAACAAACAAAGACAAACCAGGGAATGCTTGTGAAAATATCCATTTAATAATGTATGTACTTGGTATATGTCATGTGTCGTTTGGCATGCTTTAAGTTAACCTATAATTAAAACATTGAAATTTTCATAGAAAATGACAAGACTGAATTGTTACTCGACGTGGAATTGTTCTTTTATTAAGAACATAATGAACTTACAATTTCCCCCAGGATACATGGAAATGGCATATCTGCACTTCCAAATTTTTAAAATCTACATTGTTGGCAAATGCTAGAATATAAGAACTCTAGGGTAACTGCTAGAATAATATCATGTCATTTACACGTAAATCTAACCTTATGGCCACATTCGTATTAGTATGTCCAATTTCACTGTATGGTACCCTACAAATATGATCCTTGTTTGTATAATTTTTAGACTTGTCCAGTATGCTTCACGGTTCATCATCTGGTATATGAAAGATGCAAAAGATTCTCAAACACTTATCTGGAGAGTAAAAAAACTTGAGGCTGCAATGACCTCGTCCAGAAAACGTAGGTACATGGTCTCCTTGAGGCTATGAAGTGAATAGTAATATATATATGGCTGCAGCCCTGATATGATGTTAGAATATTGAATTTATGTATGTGATCGCAAGAACAATTAGTAAGCAAAATTACATATATGACAATTTGTTCATGAGTTGCAGCTTTGTTTGCACAATTAAAAGAAGACATTAAATGTGCAAAAGTGAATATTGATTAATTTTCTGACTTTGCATGAGAATAGTAATCTTGCAATGATGCATTGAACCTGCTCAACTTGATATCGTTATATTTCTTAGAACTTCTGGCTAATAGTAGTATTACAGCTGTCTTGATATGTCCCAGTTAAGTGTCAATATAATACCTGTTTTTTTTTCAGTGTTTCGTATGTTCAACTCTGTCGAGTTTCTCACAAAGGCTATCGACTCTTTAGCTGAGAAAGATGATTATCTGCGATACCTTTCGGTGATTGGGATGACAGGCAAAGGAATCTGGTTGTTGTTTGATCATCTGCTATGGTTTGGAAAAATAGACATGTTCAAGGTGCATCAGCTCTGTTTCATTTTTGCTATTCACTATAGGAACTTATTTCTGGTATAAGCCTTGTATATCGCCAAGTACTCGTTCAATGATCCATAAATGAGATTATATGTTGGGTTACTGTAACTTAAGAGTTGGTTCTCAGAGGAACATACCAACCATTTTCTGAACTTATTCAATAAAAAACATTCAAACAAAATATCCAGATTCCAATGGAATGACAATAATTATGGTAAAACTTTAAGCACATTAGTTTAAAGGAATACTTGACTCTAGGTTCTAGGGTTATTTTCAGTTGATTTAGGTTAAAGGCTCACAATGCGCATCCAAACGCTAATTTCTCCAGTACTAGACTAGCAAATACTTCGTGGCATGCATAATCACACTACCTTATGATAAAATAAACTCTAGTTCCTCCCATTTCACTGCATGTTGTCTTATAAAAGGTATTTTGAAAATACCTCCAATGTTGTTGAAATTTTCCGATGTTGTTGACAGTTTCCCCAATCCCCAAGCAACCGTGCAGCGGTGCTGCGGTACAGCGGTACGGGCGCAGCAAAGATAAAAACATGTGACGTCACGTCACCACTTCGAGGCTATATTGTTTGGCAAACAGTCGGCGTTTAAATACGTGTGGGTATAGACGATTTGTTATACAGTAAGTACAGTTGTATGCAGTAAAATCCTAGAGGCTACTGTCCCTTTAATAACTTTACTTGTAGAGAATGTACTGCTATTTTTGTATATTTTTTTCTCCATGTTGTATAACGCTGTTTTGTACTGTATCACTCGGAAAACTTATTATTTCATTATAAATATAAATGAATAAAATCATAAAAACCTGGCTTTCTACGTTTTTATTAAATTTACTTAATTCCAAGATAGAGTTCTTAAATGTAATTAAGTTTTTCTAAAGATCGTTGCGAATAGAACTTTCATTATTATAAAATTCTCACTGATATCAAAGCAACTACTTCAGTTCTAGCAGATGGAGACAGGGCGGCGCCACTAGACACCCCTACAACGTAGACTGGTACTCGCTCCCACCTCGATTACTCGATGGGTGGGACCTAAGCCGAGAGGTGGAACCGGGTACCAGTCTACTAAATACGCACATAACACCAGGCAGCGCCACTATACATCCTATAACCCTACATGTTTTTACCAATACATCCGATAAAGATATGGTTGTAAACAGATTTTATTTTTGAATGTCTACAAATAGAAACCGAATAATATATATATAATATATCGTTTGTTAGTTGAATGAATAAGTTTATACCGGTACTATGACTGTCACCAGGGATAAGAGTGTTGTAAGATACGTACTAAAATATAACAGTCAAGTATCTGCTCGAGACAAGATCAACAGGTAGGTACCGTCAACCGGGGTGACTTTGATACTGATAGTCAGGGTGACTTTGATAATTGGTTATCAAAGTCACACTGAATGTCAAAGCTACCCTAGCAAGGAATTTTGCACAGGGGCGAGATAGTGATCCGCTAGGGGACGGCTTTGATTGGCTAATTTTGTCTTATTTATTTTATTTATTATTATTTTGGCAGTGGCTACGGTTACGGTAGCCGTATCTTAATGTCTCGAGGCTACGGGTACGGGAGTCCATTCGCTTTCATACTTAACGAGACAAAGATATGGTGGCGCTAGATTTCGAAATAACGCCTTGGGAAATA